ACGGGTAGAATTTCTGTATTCTCTATTCATTCACATTATTTATTTCTATTGTCATCATACGATCCATGACGCCAGCAGTGCTTGAAAGCACCATTCTTGACGTGAATATACTATGACTTCCAGCTATTTTTTGTCCGAATTCTATGATGTCAATCGAGTTCAGATCCTGGAACTGTTGCGTTTTTACTTGAAAGAAGATATTCTCTATGCATGAAGAGAAGTTAGATATTATTACAAAACGAAAGTTTATCTTTGTGATGAAACGTTTTTCATATATTTTGATCGACTAAACTAGTTGAAAAATAATGCTTCTTCTCTTTACTTTTATTGGCTGCTTCTGGTTTCAGTCGTCGTAGTAATGTAAACGTAATGTAGCTATTCATGTCCTTCATTATCTGTTTATTTAGTTATGAAAAAAAGATTTTTATTCTTTCACATGCTGCCCACGAATCGTACATGGTATAATGGAAAGAAGGAAGAAGGAAAAAGAATACAGTCAACGACAAAAGTTTAAGCGAATTCGTTTTTTCGAATTCTCTCCATGTTTATTTCTTTATTTTTTATTTTACACTATGAAGCGCTGAACTGATTTAAATTGTGATATAGATAGTATGCGAAACGGCCTACAAGATGCACTACAGAGGCGCATGATGTCTGCATAAACAACTTTTTTAAAATTAAAATAGTTTTTTTTCCAAACAACAGTGGGTTTTAAGCACTCTTCAGTATTTTGTATTTCCTAACCAAGAAATTTGCACTAAAATAAAAAGAAAATATACAACCGATAGAGAATTTCACGTTCTATCAGATTCCAAAAGGGTGTTGGTGTGGGTGTGAGGTGTGGATGTGGGGTTTGAGTGTGGGTTTTGGGGGTGGGTGTGGGTGTGGGTGTGGATATTAGTGTGGGTGTGGATGTTAGTGTGGGTGTGGATGTTAGTGTGGGTGTGGGTGTGGATGGATGCGGGTGTGGATGTGGATGGGTCTGGGTGTGGGTGTGGATGGGTGTGGGTGGGTGTGGATGTGGGTGTGGGCGTTAGTGTCTCTTAGTGAACACGCACATCCATACTCATAACCACATCCATATACTCACCCACCCACACACACACACCCATCCACATATATACCCCCACACCCATCCCACTGGGAATTCCAGGAACTGAGTCGAGATCGTATTACTTAGAATTCGCAGGAATTCGATATAATTCCAGAATTGCAAGCGATTCCCGGAATTACTTCTCGGAATTAAAAGCAATTCCGGAATCGGAAGGAATTCGTAGCAATTCCGGAATGAGAAACGATTCCTGGAATGCCGGGAATTGAAGGAATTCGATTAATATTGATTAGAAGTCTTGTGTTGAATGATAATCGAGTTCTCGGCTTTGGACAAAAGTGATTCCGGGGATGGAATTGGTTTCGCAATGTTCAACATTGCGGAATAAGATGACTACTCACGAATACCCCAAATCAGTAACTGATACTATCAGTAGGTGAAACTTTATGAGCTGATTCTACGGACATCCAAAATGGTTGAACATTAAAGTGATTGCCCAACGTACACTGGTTTTTCGAACCTACGAACATCTACGAACACTCATGTCTTTTGCCGGTGAGTAGTCCTACTCCAGTTAGATACATGTCTAAAATATTAGGCTTTTATAAGCTGACCTAAGAAAAATAACAGAGACGTACTTTTTCAATTTTAAGTCTTATAATTGAATTTCGTATATTAGTCATTTCACATAAATCACTACCGTATCTGCTCAAATGGGGTTATCAGATCTTGCTCAATTTAAGATATTACTGTGGAGGGAAGAATTTTATGAATTTTGATGCAAGTCGTTCTGAAAAATATTGAATCCTCGGTTTTTTTAGGATGTTTTATGAAGAGTCCTAAAAACCTACATTTCGACCAACCTGAGTCTTGACGGGACCATATCTCAAGAACGATTCAACTGATTAAGCTGAAATGTTTTGTGGATATATATCTCTATGAGTTCTACTCACGATATAATTTTCAACTCGAAACACTGAGAGCGTGACTGTGACTGCGAGTGTGAGTATGGATGGCGTGAATGTGAGTACGAGTTGGGTGTGAGTGTGGGTGTATCTTTTCTCGCTTGCTAGATGCTCAGACCCACTCACCCAACACCCACACTCTACACTTACATTCACATTCACTCACCCGCATACCGCACCTCCCAAGTCCACACCCTCTTAGAGGTTAGGGTTGGAATGGGTGAGACTGAGGACTGGTGTGGATGGGTGAGGGTTAGAGTATAGTTGGTTCAGAGTGCGTGGATAAAGTATGTCAAGGTCAGAATGCAGGATGACGATTGTACTTCATGTTATATTGCATGTGATCTTTGACAAGTGGTTCACGATGTGAGAGTGGACATAGCCGATAGAATAAATATACAGAAGTAGATCTTTTCGGGAACTTAGATACAAGATTTCGAGATTCCGGATGGGAACTGATGAGATATGCGCAAATCGACAGAGCTCATCTGGTTCTAGTAGGTAGAGCGAACTCTGCATGAATCATCATGAAGCAGGTTTATGCTAGAGAAAGCTATGTAAGTTTTATTTGGAAATGTACCTCTAAAACGGCTTATTTTGTATAATTTTTTAAAGAGTTCTGCGCATATAACATTTTTCATCTGTTACTATTTTATGACATATTCGATTGTATGAAGACGGTTCTAATTCGACCAATATTAGTCGAAAACTTGAGTCTATCGCAAATATCTGTAATGTCTTTACAAGTCATCACTAGTGGTATTACTAGTGATATTGACTGAATATAAATCTCGTTGAGTTGCCCAGTTTCGTTTATATTTGATTCTACAGGACAAATGGATTTACTTGCAAAATTTTTATTTGATTGTTGGCAGTGGCGTCGACATAGTGTTCCATACTGTTTTATGGTATCAGATTTAAGAGAATGATGAAAAACTGCCCAATAAAAAAATCCTGCTATTCAAAAATACTCACAATTGGTGTTTAAGGTCTCTGAGATGGTATTCTCAACAAAGTGACTGACAACACTCATTTGCAGCATTCATAGAGTTACCCACTCACTTTATTCGGTTGTTTTTCTTGGTTTTTTTGCTTGCTCAGAAAAGGATTCCATCACATTTGAAAATTTCGTTTCTTTGACGTCAATATTCGATCGGAAGAAAGAGTAAAAAGAAATGGCAGAAGACAAAATTCAGTTGCTTCGCATTTTTAATGCATGAAACTATATAAAAGACAAGCATTTATTGTAAGTCAATATTATTCGCGGCTCCATTCATTGCGAAACTGAATGCTGTTACAGTTGACTTTCGAATAACAACAGCATTATTTTATGTGACTCAATGAAATATCTTCGTTAAGTTCGTCGAACCTCTTTCTAGAAATGAATGATGAATATATTTCTACAGTTGCGCGATCATTCAAATTTTTTCTATGCGATATCCAAAGATCATTCGAAAGTTTTCTCTAAGGAGTACAGTCCTACAACAATACCATTCAGTTTTTCTAAATTCTGAACCAACTAAAGATGGATAATACTAATCATCTTGGCATGCCTTTGTTAGCCAATTTGGCTGCGAATGTAATAGAATCCGCGTGTGAGGTTGTAGGTGTGAATGTCAGCGTAGGTCTAGGGATCCGTGCGAACGTGTGTGGGTGTGGGCCTTTCCTTCTTTCACCGCAAACCGATACTCACACAGACGGTAACACCCAGACCCATACCCACACCCCTGACCCACACCTACCCACCCACACCCACACCTTACCTGTATGAAGCAAAGAGAAAAATGATAGCGTGGGACGAAGAATAGATGGCTACGTGAGTAGTCAACCGAGACATACGAAAATTAACAAGTTGGTAAAAATATGGGGAAAAACCAACCTGATAAGAGAACAGAACAGAAAAAAAAACGGAAAAATACAGGTTTAACGTATTGATGAACGATTGGATCATTAAAATCACCATTTGATAATTTGAAATATTTTGTTAGGATAACATTATGACAGTATCAAAATTATTCAGGATTGTGGTAGTAAATGTACTGAATTATTTCGAATAAATCATGACTCTGAATACTTAAAGCACATCATCAGCAGAGGTCAGTCACGTACAATTCGTACAATTCATGAAAACTCATTTTTTTATTCCAATATTCCCAGTAGGAGTGCATATTTTTCTTTGATTTTCTAATAAGAAAATGTGATTTTTTAAAATCCGCGTGGCCACGTATCGATCACCCTCGCTTGGGGAAGGTTTAAACTTACCAAAATAAAGAAAATCCTCTCTAGAATCAAAAATATACTACCGACAGACTATGAAACATGTTACAAGCTTTGAGATACTTTGTTAACCAGTGATATATGTCCTCTTTTTCGCCCAACAAGCATCACAAAAGAGATTTTTTGATGAATTTCACCAAAAAGAACTTAGTCTTGAATCCTGCTATATTCCATTTTTTCTCTGAAACATAGACAGAATTTATAATGTTCTTCTGTTGTAAGAGTGAAACTGACATACTTGGACGATAGAACTCTCTCTGTACTATCCATAGATTAGGAAAAAAGATAGTTTTCATCATAACAATTGGAAATTTTAACATCTCAAACCTTTCTCATTAGCACGTCAAAAAAAGCTGTTATCGCAATTCCTGTGGGATTAAAATGTCAAACACGATATATCTATTGTTGTTAATTCCCTAAAAACTCGTATTTTTATGTATATCTGGGTATGCTTCCGCATTCTTCCTTACTTTAGAGGGTGTGGGTGTGGGTGTTGTTCGAGTCTTCTTTCATACCCACACCCATGGCTTCCGATTACTTTTGAAAGTGTGGGGGGCTAAATTTTCGCAGAAAGCTTCAGCTTTTTCGGCAGACAGTATTCGACAAAAAACACATATTCATTTCATAATATTATAATCTAAGTTCGCCTTTATTAAAAGCAAGAAAAATCAAAATATGTATCGAAAAATAATATCTCAAAAAGTTTTTCAAAGTTCATCGTTTCTTTGGTTCATTTGATCCGATTGAAAAAATAATGTTACGTTTCGTGACTTCGCACGCTCCGAATTTTTTATGAAATCTTGAACAATAAAATCGATTCCATAATCTGTTAATTGTATGTCAAGAATAGACAATTTCAATAATATTTCGACGGTAGTATCACTTAAGCGGTTTCTTAACCAGGTCTTTATCCGTCGTAAAGCACTAAACATTCGTTCGGGTTCATTCGAACCAACTGCAAATGTTGCAAGTATCTTATATAATCGAAACCATTCTGGACATTGTTCACTACCAAATTTTGCAAGTCTTGATAGTATTAATGGAATTGAAGTAATATTTTCAACAATCTTTAAGAAGGCATAGACATCATCTTTTAAATATTTTATATTAAGTAATAGTTTATCTGTTCGTTCGTATACTTTTCCATCAACACCCTTGTGTACGTATGTGCTTGGAGATGTGTATTTCTCTATTAATGGATTGCTGATTAACTCTTCAGGTGAAATTTTGTAGAGGAAAATATGCACAAATTTTGAATCATTTGCTTTGCTTCAGAGTTAAAACAATCATCTAATGCTTTTAAAACATTTTGAACAGAAGCATTGCCTATTTGTTTTAATTCGTATTCATCAAAATTGTGTTTTACTGATTGTTGTTGACATCTTGTTGAATATGATGTTATTTGAGTCAATGGAGCATATTGTTTAATATCACTTAACATTGTTTTGAAAGTAATGAAATCGAAATTGTTCATCTCCTGTGCTATTGTTTCTCGTGCTGCATCGACATTTACAGCAAATTCGTCCAAACATAAACCACGTTTTTCAATTTGTCTTAAAAACTTCATAGCTGGACGAAGAATATCTCGTAAAAGATGTATTTGAAATACAACCACTGGCTTAAGTCAAGAGCATGAATCTATATCAAAAAAAGAGTAAAAACTCAGATATCTCTGATATTTGAATAAACTAAGTCAAAAGATGTTCTAAATGCGATATATGATAACTATTCAGGTCTTTTTTTGCACTAGGGGTCAAATTTTTTTTTAATTAAAAATATAACGAAATTGTGGCTCTTGAAAAGCGCTATCGAATAAGCTAGATGAGAATTTTGGTACCTTCAACTTTTGCATTGAAATATCGATTGAAAGTTATGGATAAATGATAACAATGACAAATATGCTTATAATGTCTCATAATGTATACAATCTTTATCCAACTAAGTTGAATAATGAATTAATGATTTATATACAGAATTGAAGAACTATCAAAGAGCTACGACATTCATAATTTAAGTGAACTTTCATCTTATAAATTTATTATGAAATTGAATTTACATTGAATATACCCTAATTGGAGAAATTCTCATATTAATGACAAAAAATGAGTCATTTTGTTGATAGCTTATAGCTTTCGAAATTCGATTAAAACTTCATGAATTTAGCACCAAAACGTTAGTCTCGCTTTACTCTCTCGATTAGTATATGATTCAATAGGGATAGTCTAGAAAAATACCAATGGGCCGATTCCCTATCTTATGCGCCCCCGTGCTTTTGATAAGAACTGTTTTTGTTGAAAACTACCTGGTACCATTTAGATCATAATGCGTGAGACACTTTACATTCCACTGTATCATCAATTAATACATTGTATTAAAAAAGCTGTTAGCGCAATCCCTTGCGGGATTAAAAATGTGAAACACGATGGACCTATTGTTACTAATAAAATGGAAATCCTTTTGTTGCATTTCCTTACGACACATTTGTAGCTGACCGTATATCTGATGCTTTATAACTACAATTTCTGTGCCACGGTCTGTGATGGGTACCCGGATTCTCTGTCACGATCTGTGATGGGTACCCAGGGTTCTCTGTGACGGTCTGTGATGGGTAC